AAGGAAAGCCACGCGCGGGCGGCTAGCGAGCTGCGTGCGCGTGGTAGGTAGGTAAGGAGCGCTCTAGGACGCGCAGGCGCACGAGGCGCACAGTAGGTAGGTAGGTAGGTAGGTGGGCCCTAAGAACAGTCCTAGCGACGGACCTGCTCTGAAACCATGTCAGTGATAACGGACTGGAATGGTGAACTAGAAAGGATTGTGAGTACAAATATGAAACCCTAATGTGGTGACCCCCCTATAGGCTAACCCACTACAGCCTACACAAACACAACATATATAATGTTTGACATGCACGCATTAAAATATGCAAAGCGGTCAATCAGGCAATGCGCGCGAGCTGGTTGGCTCCTTGCTCGCGCTAGGGGCACTGGGCAAAGCCATGTCCCGGTTCACGGCAAATGAAGCAACGCCCATCCCCATCGCGGCGCCATTTGTTCCAAGAGCGTTCCCTGTTGCCCCTACCACAGTTGTTCTGGTTATACCGCTGAGGGTAGGAGGTGGTACGATCGGGGCGACTCTTTTTCATCGCCGCCACAATTTGAGTGGCGGATTTAACCGTCTTATCCTCCACCACCTCTCCATATTTAATCTTTAGGGCCACATTGGCCACGTCAAAGCCGCGCTGGTCAGCGGTGAACAAGAACATAATATTTTCTTCGGCCTCTTGTTCAATCTCTTTTAACTAGAGAGCCGCTTGTTTGCTTCCTTCAGAAGGTAAAACACTCAACGCATGGCGAGCAATAATTTGAATCCTTTCAAAACCAACATTTGAGTGCGAACGTCGTCGCTCTTAACAAGAGCCGATCGCAACTGAGGACGAGCTGGAGGGATGGGAACGAGTGCCGATGACGAGTGCGTGGGGGGAGGATGCGGAAGAGAGCGAGGGCCGTTACCTTCGTTAATATCCTCAAAAATGCCACGCTCGCCTTCCTCCTCGTCCGCGGCCGCCTCGGGAGCCTCGACATTGCGTGTTATTGGGCGAAGGTTCTCAGGACGAGCCGGCCTCCCGTTGACGAAGTGCGTCGACGTTGTGCATCGGGTTGTTGGCGTTTCGATGCTCCATACGGTCGCTCCAAGAAGGTGTAGCCCGAGTGTTCGTTGGAGTTGGAGAAGCGGGACGCTCCATAATGCGTGTTGCAGGGGCTGCAGAAAGCTGCGCCAGAATCTGGAGCAGATTTGCCTGTGCAGTAGTGTCGAGATTCTCCAAAATCGCGGCAAAATCTGGACGAGCAGCTGCGCGCGCGGTCCCGATTTCGTCCGGATTCTGCTGCGATGAGGGCCTCGAGTTTCTCCTTGGCGAAAGATTCGCCACGCGCGCTGCAGACGCTGGCGCGCGATCTCCCTGCCCCTCAGGCGCGTGCCTTTTCTGGCCTAAACCGCGCGCCTGAGGGGCCTGAGGGGCCCGAGGGGCCGAAATTGTCGCGGCTACAGTGTTGGCAGCCGGATTTCCGAGTCCGGGCGGCCCCTCATGGTCCAGGGGCGTCATCATTTCGCCCCTGGCGATTTTCTGCTCCTCTTGCAACAGTCGCGCCGGCAGGGCGGGGTCTCGATCGAGATTCCTCCTGATTGCGTTCATCGGGGTGACTGCTACGAGCGCCACTCGAGGCGATTGGATCACGGTCGGTTCCGCGAGCCGCGGCTCCAATTAAATCAAGAGCCGTAATTGCAGCGCGATGTTCATTTCGTGGCGAACGGGACCTCTCCCTCCCGGAGGCTGAAGTTCTCTCATCATCCCTCCGAGGCGATCGATGCCTAGACGAGCTCCTTGTAATAACGCGAGTAGGAGGAGGCCGTCCGTTGACAGCAAAAACGAATCAACTCGCCATATTGTTAAGTCGAGCAGCCTAAACGTCTTGTAGGAGGGTTGAGGGTAGATGAGATCCAGATCTAACCATAGGAGGAAGAATGTGTTGAAAGGCTAGGCGGAAACGAGAAACAGGAAAGGTGTTTTCACTAGCAGGCACTTGAGTACATATAGCAAACCCTAATCTGGGCTGTACTCGCTATAGAGTACCCCACTGCAGGCTAGACAAACATCACATTCTGACACACCCCCATAGTCAAAGTGGGGTATAATCAGCACAACAAGCAGACAAAGCACTAGTTCACTGTGATAAGCAAAGCTAGAGACTACCACAGCGGGCAAGTGAGGAGGAGGAGGAACTGTGGAGGTGAGAAGATGGGAGGTGACGGCTGAAGCTGCAGACACACGGGCAATAGGAGTGCGCAGCACTGTCGCTACCAGGCTATACCCGGACTACTCAGGCGACAGGCGCAGCTGGCTCTCTGTGCTCCCAGGAGTGCTCACACTGTAGCTACCAGGCTATACCCGGACTACTCAGGCCACAGACGCAGCTGGCTCTCTGGACTACCAGGAGTGCTCACACTGTGGCTACCAGGCGCAGAGCCCCGGACTACTCAGGCCACAGACGCAGCTGGCTCTCTGGACTACAGGCGCTGCGGACGACAAGACGGCTGCCTCCACTCAACTTCCCCCAGCTGTCCCACACCCCTTTCACACACCCCCTGCTGTACCTTTTACACTGCTCACACGCCACCCCCCTCGTACCACTCCAACGGTTCCAACACATCCACCCCCCTCAGCGGCAGCTGCAGCAGTGGGAGCCGGAGGAGGAGGAGGAGCAGGGGACGGCTCACACACCCGGCACCCCCATACTCTCCACCCCCACACTCTCCACCCCCAAACCCTAACACAGGAGCGCGGGCAGCAGCGGGGGTGGGGCGCGGTCAGAAGCTCGGGGGACGGCGTGCGGCACTGGGGCGGACTGTACGGGCCGCGCACGGGCCTGGCGCAGGCCGGACGAACCGCGCGCGGGCTGCCCGGGCCGCGCGCGGGCCTGGCGCAGCCCGTACGGGCCGCGCGCGGGCCTGGCGCAGGTCGCGCGGGCCGCGTCGGGTGACAGGGGGCGACGCGCGAGTCCCCGAGGGCTCCGCGACGGGCGACGGGGGGCGACGCGCGGGTCTCCGAGGGTGCCTCGACGGGCGACGGGGGGCAACGCCCCGAGCGCGCGGCAGGAAGAAAAAACGCCGCGCGCCCTGAGCGCGCGGCACGCAGCAAACATCGCGTACGCAGAGCGTGCGATAGGCAGAACAGCAGCGGAAGCATCGGGTGGGCCCACCCACAGGATCGACCCAGGAGGGTCGACCTGCTCTGATAGCATGTCAAAAGGCTAGGCAGAAACGAGAAACAGGAAAGGTGTTTTCACTAGCAGGCAGTTGAGTACATATAGCAAACCCTAATCTGGGCTGTACTCGCTATAAAGTACCCCACTGCAGGCTAGACAAACATCACATTGTGTCAGAATGTGCCAACTCAAATTGAGACGAGTGAACTGAGACTAGGTGGCAGGTCTGTGGAACCGCCGAAGGATAAGATGGGAATGCCTCCTTATTGCATTCCCCTTTCTTTAAATCTTGTCACAATCATTAAATTTAGAAATATATTTCTAAATTATTCATCTCGCCGAAAGCAGCGCGACAGCAAGGATACATAACTGACTCGATATTGAGTAGTTACTCGAGTCGTCGCTGTAACGAATTGCAACAGCAGTTACAACAGCAATTGGTTAAAACCTTTCATATTCCCTTGTAATTATACAAATGCCTTGTATCACTTTGCTATAATCAACTCATCTTGTCCTCATACACAAGCACGAGGTGGTTCAAATCAGTTCACTAGAACGCTTCCGCTAATCACATCATTATCCTAAGTCTTAGTCTTGAAAATGATCCCAAGGGCTTTCTCAGCCCAACAATGAGTACCGTTGTTTGATTGTGTCTGTCGCTGGATACTTCATATTTTTTTATCTCACTTGGATAGCAAATGACAAAATGCGTTGTTTACGTTGTCACGAGTGCATCGCCTCCTTTGGACTCCAGATGTGAAAATATAACGCGCAGAGAAGTCGTTGAGCCTTTTGTGTGGTACACCAGCGAGGCAACGGTGTCTACCAACGCTGGTGTTGTGATACAGTGTCCAAACGATGTGGCTGTTGGACTTCCCGTTCAAGCCAGCTTCGGAAAGGGGCTTCCACCAGGGCCTCAGAAGTCAGGAATTTTACCCTAATTTTCTGAAGTTTGTGTTTGACCCTTGTTTTTTGTTGTGACCCTGATGGACCAGCCTTTTTTTTTTTTAGAACCCTGATGGATCAGTGATTTTTTTTTTGGCAACCCTGAATTTTCATTGTTTTGTGTTTGATGACACTGACGAGTCGGTGTTGTATCAGTGTCGACCCTAAAACAGAAAACTCTGATTCTCGCATATTGGCACGCCGTCATCATTCATGTACCCACTGTGCATTGACGCCACCCTGCGGCTCGACCCGATACGGCTTACCTGGCTGATTTTGGGCAGTGTTTGCACAACAGCGCTATTCGAGTGGCTTTTCCAGGTGTTTCAATGCTTCGTTGTCTCTGACTTCGTTGTTTTTCTTGGCCTCGCTGCGCACAAACGCAGTGGACCAGTGGTGAATGGTGTCTGTTTCACTACGCAAGGGCGCGGTGGTGCGGTACGACCAGCCGACCCATGCAGGGGATCTCTTGAATCTCTCATTCTTGCTCTCCACATCACAGGGTTCAACCCCCTCGGCTGGCTCAATCAGTGTTTTTTGAAACGCCACCCTGTGTGCTCGGTGTTTTTTTTTTTTAACTAACCCTGGAAAATCAGTGTTTCTAAGTAGGCAACACTGAAGATCAGTGTTACACCTACATGGGACCCTGAGTGCTCAGGGTACCCTAAAACGAATCTGAGGCCCTGGCTTCCACTAACATGGCTAGGAACCCCATGCTAGAATAGTTTCGATTAGCGTGGGTGTACAGTCAGCTTATTTACATGCTGTCTAAAGTGCAATGTTTTTAGCCACAATTGTGTAACTAGAAAGCACATCATACAGTCAATATGTGCCTTCTATTTCACTGGCACAAAATGCATATAAAATGCCTAAAACAATGTTTTCTCACAGATTTCGCCACGGAGAGCATCATTGTGGCACCGTGCCAGAAAGCCCCTCCTCTTCAAGCAGTCTCACTAACCCAGCACTTTCCAAAACGATTCGTGTTTGCACGTTCGGCCGTATTTTCGACGCTTGCAACAATCTTAACACTCGTCGTGCCCCCTCCTCCACTCGCCGCTCATACCCATCGTCCTCCACCCCAACATGCTCCGTCACGCCACCACCTCCACTATTACCACAGGAATCACCCCCATCATCTCCATCTCGCTTCGAATCTTCCTCTTCCACCGCCTCATTCCCCTTATCCTCTCCTCCCTCCACCCCGCGCCCTTCATGCCCGGCCTCTCCCACTCCCTTGCCCTCTTTCCTCCGCCTGGCTCCGCGCAACACAGCCCTAAGCACCAGATTGTACATCCCTGCATCCATAGCATACATGCCTCTGCCCACCTCACTCACCACTCTTTCCACCCTCTCCATCTCCCCTGCCTCTGCCAACCTCTCCACCACTGCAACAAACACCCCCACCCTCACCTGTAACCTCCGCCGGCCCCTCTCACCTTTCCGTCCACCCACCACCCGCGCTCCACGCACCCACCCGCCACTCCCCACCCCACTATGCGCACCTACACTGCCCCCTGCCCCCACTCCCCACTCACTCCCGCAGCCTTCCCCTAGCGCATCCACCACTGGGTTTGGAGCATCAACTCGGGGGCTTGCACTTCCTCTCGTCCACGACCACGGATGCCCCGCTGCTGCCGCTGCTGCTGCCTGCAGCAGCAGACTCACAGCACCATCTGTATCCTCGTTATTGAGTGCTCCGGTAATGAGGTGGTGGTAGGTGGTGGCGTCAGGGAGCATGTGCGAGGCGCGCATGGTGGAGAGGAGGGAGAGTGCGTGGTGCATGCGGTGGGAGCGGGTGTATGCGAGGAGTAGGCAGTTGTACGCTGCTGTTGTTGGTAAGTGACCTGCTTGCTCCATGGCTGCGAAGGCCTGCGGTGGAGAGGGGTTGGGATGGGATGGGATGGGATGGGATGGGATGGGATGGGATGGGATGGGATGGGATGGGATGGGATGGGATGGGATGGGATGGGATGGGATGGGTGGGATGGGATGGGATGGGATGGAATGGGATGGGATGGGATGGGATGGGATGGGATGGAGGTAGGGCAGGAGCACTATCATGTGGTTTGAACGTTACTCTGTTGGTGTGATAAGGTGGAAGAGAATAGTATAGTGGAAGGTGGGATAAACGAATGAACGAACTCCAGTCGGGAAGAAGCACAAGAGCGGGGAAGTGGCAGGTTTGCAGGAGGCATGACACCGGCAGGATAAAGAAGAGGAAAGGTAGGGAAAAGGAAGGATGGACGGAACCTTTTCAGCCTCTTCCACTCGGCCAGCAACAGCATAGCAGTAGATTCGAGCCATGTGCAGTATCCTGCATGGGACAGAAATATACAGAGGAAGGGGTGCAGAGGGGTGAAATCGCGGAAGAGAGGGCTGAAGAGGGGCGTGAAGAGAGGCGAAGAGGGATGGGAAAACATTCTCAAGGGAGGAACTGTCAAATTATATATAGGTGTTAGTGTTGTCTAGGCTGTAGTGGGGTAGCCCTTATGGGGTACAACCCAAAAGTTAGGGTTATACTTGTACCCTTCTTTCACTCAATCGATCATTCCATTGTCTAGATTCTGAGATGGTGCGGGGCCTGGGGGTGCTGAGCTTGGGCGTGAGGAGCCTGGAGGTGCTGCGTCTGGGAGTGCTGAGCCTGCGAGTGAGGAGCCTGGTGGTGCGGAGCCAAGGGGTGCTGTGCCTGGAGGTGCGGAGCCTGGACGTGCGGAGCCTGGAGGTGCGGAGCCTACGTGTGAGGGTTCTAGGGGTGCTGAGTCTGGGGGTGCTGAGCCTGGAGGTGCTGGGTCTGAGGGGGCTGAGCCTGCTGGTGTGCGGTCCCCTTGGAGTGGCCGCCTTCGTCCGCGTGTGCCTCTCACCTCCCAGCAGCTGCACGACTGGTACGGTCGCCGTCAGGGTCGCACTACTGGAGCCCGGGGCTCTACTGCTGGAGGTCCTTCTGCTGACGTCTCTGGGGCTAGGAGTGGTGCTGGTGCTTTGCCTACTGGAGGTGCTTGAGTCACCGGTCCCGGAGGTGCTCGTACTGGAGGTACTGGAGCTGCTAGGGCTGGGAGTACTGTGTCTGGGGGTGCCGCTGCTGGGGACACTGCGACTGGAGACCCTGGGACTGGGGGTGCCGGTTCTGGGGGTGCTGCTGCTGGTGCCGCTGGTTCTGGAGGAGCTGGCGCTGGGGGTGCTGGAGTTTCTGGAGGTGCTGGAGCTACTGGTGCTGCTGGTCCTGCACAGCCGCGATTGTTCTTCGCTCCGCCGTCTCCGTCGTCTCAGCCGCCCCCTGACTCTGTGCTTCGCCAGGTTCTTAGTCTTCCGTCTTCTACTGGTCTTCCGTTACTGCCTGGCTCGCCGCTGCCTGCTCCCTCTCCTTACCCTGAGCAGTCAGGGGGCCTTACTGAGCGTCGTGAGCCTGCGTCGCGTCCTGTCTCGCCTGTTCGTCCTGGAAGTTCCACTCGTCGTGTTCCGCGTCCGCGTCCGCCGCCTGTCCCCACCGCGCACCTTGTCGTCCGTCGTCCTTCCTCTGTTCCACAGTCTGTTTCTCTGCCGTCTCCTCCTGCGTCTTCCTTGCCTCACGTTCCGGACCCTGAGTCTGACCGGTTTCGTGCTGAGCACCTTACTATCACGCGTCTGCTCGCCACTGTTGTCACTGACCCCTCGTTTGAGTCTGCTGCTGCGTCTGCTTTGGTTGCTGAGCTTGTTGACTTTGCGGCTGCCTGTCGTCTAGACTACGCTGCTAGCCTTGTTGCTGAGTCTGAGTCTGTCCGTCCTCCGTCCGTCGGGGGTGAGTGTGCTCTTAGCACGGACGTCATTGAGGACAGGCACGAGGACCTTGAGTGTCTTGCAGCCGCTGCGCCTCATCTCGTGGCCATGCTGCTTGCCCCTGAGGGAGACCCGGATGCTATAGACATCCCCACACCGCGCTCTTACGCTGAGGCAATCGCGGGTGAGTACTCCTCTTAGTGGCAGACAGCCATGGACGCAGAGATGGCATCCTGGAAGTCCACAGGCACTTACGTCGATGAGGTTCCCCCTCCCGGGGCGAACATCGTCGATGGCATGTGGATTTTCAGGGTGAAGCGGCCGCCAGGTTCTCCGCCTGTCTTCAAGGCTCGTTATGTTGCTCGAGGCTTCAGTCAGCGAGAGGGAGTTGACTTCTTCCAGACCTTCTCCCCCACCCCGAAGATGACCACACTTCGGGTGCTGCTGCACGTTGCCGCTCAGCGTGACTACGAGCTTCACTCCCTTGACTTCAGCACAGCTTTCCTACAGGGCAGCCTGCACGAGGAGATCTGGCTGCGCCGCCCACCTGGCTTCACTGGGTCGTTCCCTCCTGGTACCCAGTGGAGCCTCCGGCGGCCAGTCTACGGTCTCCGCCAGGCGCCGCGTGAGTGGCACGACACACTGAGGACGACGCTTGCGGCACTTGGGTTTGCTCCTTCGACAGCTGACCCGTCGCTGTTTCTGCGCACCGACACTTCGCTGCCGCCGTTCTACATCCTTGTGTACGTCGACGACTTGGTCTTTGCTACTGCTGACACTGAGGCCCTCGCCCTGGTGAAGTCCGAGCTGCAGAAGAGACACACGTGCACAGACCTGGGTGAGCTGCGCAGCTACCTTGGCTTGCAGATCACCCGGGACCGAGCACGCCGCACCATCACACTGACTCAGTCACACATGGTGCAGAAGGTCCTTCAGCGTATCGGCTTCATCTGGTCCTCGCCACAGTCCACTCCTCTGGCTACAGGTCACTCGCTCTCAGCTCCACCTTCGGACAAGTCCGTAGAGCCGAGTGGTCCTTACCCAGAGCTAGTGGGCTGCCTCATGTACCTGATGACTTGCACTCGTCCTGACCTTGCGTACCCTCTTGGCCTTCTGGCTCGCTACGTGGCTCCTGGTCGGCACCGAAAGGTGCACTGGGATGCTGCGAAGAGGGTACTGCGCTACTTGTGCAGTACATCGGGCATGGGGCTCGTGCTTGGAGGACGGCGAGAGGTGGTCCTCACTGGGCACTCAGACGCTTCTTGGGTTGACGACCAGGCTACGCAGCGGTCGTCACAGGGTTACACTTTCAGCCTTGGCTCTGGTTCTGTTTCTTGGCGTTCTACTCGCTCGTCTTCTGTTCTCAGCTCCAGTTGTGAGGCTGAGATCTACGCCACAGCCATGGCTGCTCAGGAGTTACGCTGGCTCACCTACCTACTGACCGACTTGGGAGAGAGGCCTCGTTCTCCTCCTGTTCTGTACGTCGACAACAAGGCTGCCATTGCCTTGTGTGAGGAGCACAGACTGGAGCACAGAACAAAGGAAACGCATCGCTCTGCGTTACTTCCTGGCTCGAGAGTTGCAGCAGCGTGGTCAGCTTCGTCTTGCACACGTGGCCACTCGGGCCAACACTGCTGATATATTCACCAAGGCACTTCCGTCTGGTGATCATCAACGCTTTTGTACTTTGTTAGGCCTTGTGCCTACGTTTCCACACTTGCTGTAGACTTTGCTTGTACTGTGATCTATATATATATATACCTGCATGCTTGTTCTTGCTAGGTAGTGATCACTGTACTGTATTTGCTGCATATATAGTTTTGCATGTGGACTGGCCTTGTGGCCATTTGCTTGTGCTCAGTGTGTGGTGACGTTGTGATCCACCCTGAGTTTGCTTTGCTTCTCTTGACTGGTCGTGTGACCCCTTGTTCTCCCCCACTTTGCCTATGGAGGTGTGTCAAACAGTTATATATAGGTGTTAGTGTTGTCTAGGCTGTAGTGGGGTAGCCCTTATGGGGTACAACCCAAAAGTTAGGGTTATACTTGTACCCTTCTTTCACTCAATCGAGCATTCCATTGTCTAGATTCTGAGAGGAACAACGTGGAGCATGTATGGAAAAGCCAAACACAAGACTCACCAAAGCAGTCAACCACCCAATACATGGGCTGGAACTAGCAGATGAACTAATCCTCAACCAAGCACCCCATACTCCCCCTCACTGCCCCTCATGGATCGGGTCAGGGTTGCCCCCTCACGGCACTCAGCCCCTAGGCAGCTCTACTCAACCCCCACCTAACCACCCCACACTACCCCTCACCCCATCCTCTCCCATCTCCAACATCCCCATCACGCCACCCCCCACTCCCCCCCAATACTCTTTCCCAATCTGTCAGAGCCTCACCTGAGCTCACCTCACGTGCCCTGAGCTCATGTGCCCCCCTCCCCCCGATTCTCCCCCCACGCCTCTCAACGTCTCACCTGAGCTCACGTGCCCTGAGCTCATGTCCCCTGACTCCTTGCACCTCCCCCACCACCTCTTCCACCCGCCGCACATCCCCTATCCTCGCATACGCCCACGCCAGCCCCACCAGCACTGGAACCGGCATCGCCTCCCCCTTCCCCGCCTGCAGCTTCCGCATCTCCCCCACCACCCCCTCCGCCTCCCCCACGCGCCCCTTGGAGAAAAACGCCCAGGCGGCGGCGGTGAGCGTGGGGAGGGCGGGGGGGTGGGGCGAGTGGGAGAGGCGGAGCAGGAGGGAGCGGATGGATGGCAGGTGGCGGCGCCGGGCATACGCCTGCATGAGATGCTCGTGGGCCGTTGGCGTGGGGAGGATGCCCTGGAGGGGTGGTGGAAAGTGGGGGGTGGAGAGGGAGTGTTTTGAGTCGACTCAAACACTCCTTTCACATGGCCTGCATGAGATGCTCGTACGCCGTTGGGGATGGGGGGATGCCCTGGGGGAGTGGGGGAAAGTGGGGAGAGGGGGAGAGGGGGTTGAGTGAAGGAAGGAGAAGGATGGGATGGACTGGGGGATGGGTGAAAGGGAGAGAGCGGTGGTGGATGATGACCGGCAAGCATCATCCCAATTGCTCCACCCACATGTTCTGCCCATCCATCCAGTCACGTCCCCTCTCTTCGCCTCCCCGCATCACCATTCCCACCTCTCCAACACTCCCCTACGCCATTCCCCCTACCCCACCCCTCCCTATGCTAACCCTTGCCCCTACCCCACCTCCCCTTTCCCCCGACTTCACCTCCCTCCCTCAACTTTCCTCCGTCCACCCCCCTCGCCTTGCCCCACCTTGCTTGCCATCTCCTGTGCAATGCGCTCCACGTCCCGCAGCAAGCCTCGCACGCCATACGCCAGCATGCGCGCCTCATACCCCAGCGCACTCTCCCCCACGCCCAGCGCGCGCAGCATCACCATGCGCGACTCCACCCGCCGCACTAATCCCCGCCGCGCATAGTTGTGCAGAATGCCCGTGTATACCTGGGGGGGGAGAGGAGGGGGGAAGGGGGAGGGGATGGGGGAAGCAGGCTTGACACGCTTGACATGCAGACTGCCACGTACACCTGGACGTGGGGGGAGAGGGGGAAGGGGAGGGGCCTCATACCCCAGCGCACTCTCCCCCACGCCCAGCGCGCGCAGCATCACCATGCGTGACTCCACCCGCCGCACTAATCCCCGCCGCGCATAGTTGTGCAGAATGCCCGTGTATACCTGGGGGGGGAGAGGGGGAGAGAGGAGGGAACGGGGATGGGGGGAGAAGAAAGAGAGGATGGGAGCAATGGGCTTGAGGCGATTCCAACACAAGGACCAGCCCCCGCCGCGCATAGTTGTGCAGAATGCCCGTGTATACCTGGGAGGGGAGAAGGGGGAGAGAGAGGAGGGGGAGAGGGAGGGGGACGGGGAGGGCATGTATTGAACAGTGTTCGGATTGTGCAGAGCAGATGGCACAGATAGTATCGACTGTGGAGAAAGGTCCAATTCACTAGGTATTTAATCGACATGGCATGACTGGGTTGCTTGATTCTTCTAGACACCAGATGCACACACCAATTACCTCCTCCGTTTGCAGGTGTCTGGGCAGCAGCGTAAACATTTCTTCTGCCCGGGTGATGCGGCCTGCCCGCACGCAAACATCCAGCAGCAACCTCCAGTCGTCCTTGCCCAGCCAGTAGTGCGGGCTGCGCACCACGTGCTGCGCCACCTGGGGGGATGGAGGATGAGGGAAGGGTGTCGAGGGGAGGTGGCAAGGAGTGGGTTTTGATTTGAGTGAGCACCACACCTTGACCAGCCAGCTGTGCGGGCTACGCACCACGTGCTCTGCCACCTGGTGCGGTGAGGCGGATGGAGGGAAAGGGGGAAGGCGTGCTTGGGGAAGTGGGGATGGGGGGATGAGGGGTTGGATGATAGAGGGAGTTGACAAAGGGGGTTGTTTTCTGAACTACATCACACCTTGCCTTGCCCAACCAGCTGTGCGGGCTGTGCACCAAGTGCTGTGTCACCTCTGGGAGAAAAGGAAGGTGGGAAGATGCAGAGGTAATGCGCGCGCGTGTGTGTGTATGTGTGTGCATGCGTGTGCATACGTGTGTGTGTGTGTGTGTGCATACGTGTGTGTGTGTGTGTGCATACGTGTGTGTGTGTGCATGAGCATGAATGAATGTGTGTATGTGTGCGGGTGCATGGGTGTGTGTGTGTGTGTGTGTGTGTGTGAGTGTGTGTGTGTGTGTGTGTGTGTGAGAGTGTGTGTGTGTGTGAGTGTGTGTGTGTGTGTGTGTGGGTGTGTGTGTGTGTGTGTGTGTGTGTGAGTGTGTGTGTGTGTGTGTGAGTGTGTGTGTGTGTGTGTGTGAGTGTGTGTGTGTGTGTGTGTGTGTGAGTGTGTGTGTGTGTGTGTGTGTGTGTGTGTGAATGTGTGTGTGTGTGTGTGTGTGTGCAAGCACGCATGTATGCAACAGGGGGCAGAAGATTGGAGAGAGGGAGAGCAAGGAGGCTTGGCTGAAACCCGCTCTTCCTCCTCCCATCTACCTGCCTCTTCGCACCCCACAGCAAACCTCCAGGATTCCTCAGCACCCTTCATCATCCTCCAACACACCACAGCACCCCACAGCACCCTGGCACATCGCACCTCAAACGCATGGACAAGCCGAAGCCGCTCTTTGAGCCGGCCAATCAAAGCCAGCAGCAATTCTTTGGACAGCGGGCGACCGCCGTGCCCGTCTGCGTGGTGGTGGGCGTGCCAGGAGAGCACAGCGGGCAGCACACGTGCACTGCCCTCTGGCACATGCTGCACTGCCCACCACACACTCTCCAAAGCCTCTGCTGCTCGTGAAACACCAAGTGGGGTGGGGCAGTGGGGGGAAAGGAGGAGGGGATTTGGCTGGCAAGGGTGAGTTGACAAGAGCTTGGACATGGCGGAATGTGTTTGTTCATGAGGACATGGCGGAATGTGTTTGTTCATGAGGACAATAGTGTGATGCGGCGATTTGGAAGAGAAGGGGGGCAACGGTGAGTATGTGATAAAGCTGAACCCTCCCTCCTCTTTCCTCTCCCTCCCTCCTTTCCCTCCCTCCCTACCCTCCATTGTTCACCTGCATTGTACCCTGCGCTCTCCTCCTCCTCGCCCTCGTGAACTCCCTCTGTCTTTGTAAATCCCGCCTGCCCCGCCTGCCAAGCTGCCTGCCCCGCCCGCCCCTCGCCTTCCCTGTCTGAACCCTTCCGCATAGCACTGCCACCTCCCATTCCTCCCATCCTTTCCATTCTCCATGTGCACCCTCCGCCCTCTCTGCTCCCTTCCGGTATCTCCTCCCCCACCTCTCTTCCCTCCACCTCGGCCTCCCTTCTCCCAGCCGCCCCATCCCTCCTCTCCACCTCCCCACCCTTTTGCTCAACCTCCCCCTCCCTTCTCGCCACTACACTCTCCCCCATCACTGCACTACTGCCATGTAACCGCCTTGCCTTGATCCACGCGCAGGCCAATTCCCCTCCTCCGCCTCCTCCTCTTGCTGCCACTGCACCTCTCCCCACGCACCTCTTCATTTCCTCCCCCCATCCTCTCCCCCAACCCCCCCCACCTCCTCCTCCTCCGGTGTTCCTCCCACAACCCCCCCACTCCACTCCACTCCTTGCCAATGGAAAACTGACACGTGGCAGCTCCTCATTGCGGGCGGCAGGAAAGGGGAGACGGTGGTGGAGACGATGAGGGAAAGGGGGAGGGCAATGTGGGGAGGCATGTATGTGTGGGCATGGGGGGTCTTTTCGAGGAGGTTTCTCAGAACACAGGGGCACGTGTGACAGAGGGAGTGGTGTGAGAAGGAGGGCTGCAGGGAGTGACTGTACGACTCGTGATTGTGTTGATGGTGGTTGTAGCGAAGGTGATAAGCGGAGAGATAGGCGGGAAGCGGGAATGTGGAGGATCCGGTTGGTGTGCGTGAGGGTGTGAATGTGTTGGTGGCTGTGGGTGTGGGGCGGGGGCGGAGCGAATTGCGGAAGGAGCGGGAGGGAAGGGCGGAGGGCAGCTGCGTCAAGCGCGTGCGCGCGAGGCGAGGGGAGGAGCGCGCTGCAGAAGCGCGGGAGAGGGGGAGGGGAGGGGAATGGGAGAAAGAATTGAGCACAGGGATCGTGAATATGGGATGTGGTGAGCACGGGGAAGACGAGGAGGCGATGAGAGCGCATGCATGTGAATAATGGGTGTGTTTTATTTCACCCACCAGTGCACGAGCGTGAGGACACACGCGCCATGCTGCGGACCCTACGCAGTCTCGTTTCTAACACCCTCGTACCCTCTGCACGCTCAACCCACATGCTCACACTCCTCCCGCGCTTCCTGCGGCCCTTCCGCCTGCTTCTCCCCCTGCTACCTACGCTAAAGGCGATCGCGCGCAAAGCCCCCCCTCCCTACCTGGGAAATCGATCCGAGGACTGGCGGCAGCGGCGGGCGGAGTAGAGCAGCGCGGCGGCGAGGAGCATGGCGGCGAGACTCGCACATGGGCGCCGTCGCGGCGCACAGACGCGTCTCAGGGGAGGACATGAATCGGAGCACTGCGCGCGTAAACTGCCGTTCTACTCCGTTCCTACATCGCAAAAACAGGGGGGGTCGAGGGGTAACGTTAAGTTCAGGTGCTCCAAAGCTGCTTGGCGTAAACTGACCTTAGGGTTACGCCAAACCTACCGTGGAGCTGCTTTCAAGGTTGGCGCTTCGGGAATTAGCGGAATGACAGAAACGTGGTGGAGTTTCATTCGCTATCGATACATAGCTACGGGAAAGCTGCTCCTACCAAATTGCTTGGGCTTAGGGCGTGTAACATTGTACCGACCGACCTGAAAAAACGACCTTTGGGCGGTTCTGACGATTGCGAACTATTTGGGGTTACACCCACTGATTAGCATTAAGTGGTAGTCACTCTGACCACAGAAAAAAAATCGGTTGGATTTTCATTTCATTTTGGTTCGGCGACTTTCGCGACTTGTACTAATCTTATCCAGGGAAGGGTGTTCGACATCCAGTTATTTCCCCCGAATTTTTTTCGGGGCACTATGAGCTTGCTAAACATTACTGTCTGTGCCCCGTTTATTTAACGCCCCTTTGGAAATTCTGAAACTTGGATTAAACCTTTAATTCTAATTACGGGGGCAGTTCAGGGTGGGTGCCCCACAGCTCGCGAACAGAATGGTCGTTCTTTTCGAAATATGTGGCGGGGTTCGTTTAATCGTTACAAATTTCGCATTCGCGTGACCCGACCGTTTGGTCGGATTTTAGGCTTGGTCGATACAATGTTTCACGCCCTTAGTGCATTTCCTGTGTTTCGGTTCGCGCATTTCGCCCAATCAAGGGTTAGGCCAAGAACTCTCTCATACTCGAATCCTCGCTAAGAATTCTCTCGTTCTGTTTGCAGGAATTCTTTTTGTAATTTAAAGGCTTTGTCTGTAACCTATAATGTGTTATATAGGTACAGATTCGATCATTGCATCATTTTGTTTCAAATCAACTATATTAACTACGAAGGCTACTGTTGTTGTAATTAATTTTCTGTCAGCACTGCGTGCAAAAATATCGTACAGATCCAATGCAACATGTGATTAGATTCTTTAACAATATGCAAACAAGATAGAGATATATGCATGTAAGCAAGGATCTGTAAGCAAGGATGAGTGGGCTGGGAGCCACTGCTGCGATCATAAACTAGATCGTAACCAGGATCACCTCGGGAATGTTCGCACAGAGTGTGTGGTAGTGTTGGATCCTTGACATCAAATCAGAGTGAATGTAAAATGATTGAGATGATTAAAAAAATGCAAATACAAACATAGAAATAGTAGTACAAGGGAATATCGATCGTCCTAGCTAGCCATGTGCTCTAAGGGGTACATTCCCTTATTCAAATTCAAACCCAACTGTGCCGTGCGTACAATTACAAAACTATTCCCGCGCTTTTCATTCCTCCTCCTGCTGCCGATGTCGTTTGATGCTGACAGTCCAAACGTTCTCTAACTGTTTGCGTCGCTTTGAGTCATGTCTGACTCTGTCTTCAGCCTCGGTACTGTGTGCTTCGCTTGCTGATGTCAGGAGTGCACAGTGCTCTTTCTTAATTTACCATTCGTAACACCCCCCTTCACTCCTGACCGTAGTTCAAATTGACTCGCTTGACTACCCCACGGAGTTCGGAGCAGTGCTGGTACTGCTGACGTTGCGGTTGCTTCGTCAGAATGTGCCTTGTCACGTGTTTGGCAGTAGGTCTGGTCCGCCTTTCCCTTGTCCACTTCGTCCTTGACGAAGAAGTACCGCAGCGCGATGTGTTTGGTGCGGTTGATGAATCCGGGCTTTTTCGCGATTCGGATCGCGCTCTGGTTGTCGCAGTGCAGGCAAAAAGTCGACGAAGGTGGGATTTTCGATTCTTGCACGAGTTCCTGCAGATAAAGACCTTCGCGAACTGCTGCTGTCGCGGCGATGAACTCAGCTTCGGCCGATGACAAGGCAACCGGCTCCTATTTTTGCGAGTTCCACGAGATTGGTCGTGTTGGCTCGAGATGAAACAGGAACCCTGTCCTGGACCATCGATTGTCATGTTCCGCTGCGTGATCGGCGTCGACGTAGCCAATGAAGTTGAAAGGGTTGGCACTGTTGAACAGCAGAGCCCAATCTTTGGCGTGGAGATGAACTGTAGGGCGCGCTAAAGATCCAGAAGGTTCTCAGCCGTTGGTTTGCGGGAGTACTGAGCCAGTTGGCTCGCGATGTAGGAAAGGTCAGGTCTGCTAGCATCACAGGCAAAGAGAAAGCATCCTAGCTGCTCCTGGTAAGTATGGATTCCAGCAGGGGACAGGGCATTGTTGTCGGGTTTGTGGTTTGGTCCGAGAGTGCGGTAAGGGGTGAAAAGTGGTGCCAGCGCAATGTTGAAGCATTTGCCAAGTTCCTCTGTGTACTTGGCTGCTGAGAGATGAAAAGCTTCTGGCACGTAGGAGATATTAAGGCTAAGGAACTGCTTTACGTCGTGATTGCAAGTAATGCCGACGCGCGCCACTAGGTTCTTTTTGAATTGTTCGAGCAGCTCGTTGCTTGACCTTTTATAAAGTGAAACGTCGACGTAGACCGTGTGCAGAAGAACCGCCTCATCACCAAGGGCTCTAAGTGCGAGTTCTTTAAGCAGGAGTTGGAATTTCTGGGGCACGTAATTTCCTGCGACAGCATTCAAATTGACCCGGCGAAGATCAAGACTATTCAGGAGTGGAAGTCGCCGGCTAATGCCACGGAAATTGAGAGTTTTCTAGGGTTCGTGAGTCATGTCCAGCGGTTTATCCTGAATATGATGGGGATAACCGGCCCGCTGCCCGACTTGCTGCATAAGGACAGGAATTTTGTGTGGGGGGAGGAAGCTGAGGCGACTTTTAAGAAGTTGAAGACCGTGTGCAGACGAACTGCCTCATCACCAAGGGCTCTAAGTGCGAGTTCTTTAAGCAGGAGTTGGAATTTATGCGGCACGTATTTTCCTGCGACAACATTCAAATTGACCCGACGAAGATCAGGACTATTCAGGAGTGGAAGTCACCGGCTAATGCCACGTATTTTCTTGCTAGAGTTTTCTAGGGTTTGTGAATCATGTCTAGCGGTTTATCCTGAATATGGAGGGAATAGCCGGCCCGCTGCCCGACTTGCTGCACAAGGACAAGAATTTTGTGTGGGGGGAAGAAGCTGAGGCGGCTTTTCAGAAGTTGAAGGATTTTCTCGTTTCCCCTCCAGTTTTGCGCATCACCGACCCATCGAAACCGTTCGAAGTCGTCATCGATGCCTCATATATATATGTATATAAACAAGAGCAAGTTTACAAAAACAATAACAGTCGTAACTGTGCATGAGGGGTGGCTACGTGGCTACCCCAGGTGCGGCATCTAAGGAGGTCGGCGAGTCATCCTCGTTGCGAGCCAGATATTTGTGAAAGCGTTCGTCCACTTCCACGACTTCCAGTTTTTGTCCCTTATTCGAAACAGAGCTTGTTCTCTCCCTCCATCGTGCGGCGAAAATTCTCCTCTTGTTGTGTACCCTGGCACTTCCTCCACAGCGCATCCTTCGAGCGCGTGTAGATTCTCGCAGGCGGAAAGCCCTTTTCGATGCGGCGGAGCACCCGCTTCGTCCGAAAAAAATTCCCCCTGAAAACCGCATCACAACACTCCATCTACAGTTGATGTAATGTGATTGACGTGATCGTCACCTCCGGAAAAGGTGTCGTGGACCCCGCCTTCAAGAACAGCAGATCCCCTAGAGAATCAACTGTGCGCGAGCTGTTCATCATGCGAAGTGTTTTATGGAGCGCAGAGGTCACCACCTGGATCTTAGGGCAGCTGTATAGGCAGTGTTCGAGGGTTTCAACACCTCCACAGTACGGGCAGACCAGCCTGGTGCTAAAAGAAGCCACCCGCTCTCCCACTTGCAGGTTCAGATTGTGGATGCGCTGCAGAATGTCCCTCAGCTTGCTCGGAGTGACCAAGGAGTCCCGGATGGCAATGGTCTTTTTCCAATCAATGTGCCTGTTCCATCTGCCCTCCCACAGCAGATGCTTCGCAAATGGCTTCTGCCCTTCCTTCTAGAGCAACTTCAACCGCTTCAGTGGCGCAATCCCCACGTTCTCAAAGATGGGGAAGTTGGTGAGTTTGCGCCCCGCAGGGTGGTATACACGCCGAGATCCAGCCGAGTTGGGCGCTTGCGCCCCCTTACTAGGTACCCTGAGCAGCAGGTCTTTCCATCTTGTGGTGCAGCATCAAACACCTTCTTTGCCAACTTAGCAGGTCCCTTTCCGCCAAGCTCCCTTTCTAGAGTAACTGGGTCTTTGAGCTCAGGAGCACTGTTGCTACCAAGCTTGATTAAGTCTCCTAGCCGTTTTTCCAAGAGTGGTTTCACATTCTGCTGACCGCCGATTGGTGTGGTGCCTTTCAGCAGGAGGCGTTTGTTGAAGACGATCCGCTCGCTCGCCACCGCTTCCTGAGTACTCGCCTCTGGAAGGTTCCCCAGCGGTGTCTTCATGAAATTTTCACATGCCACCTTCCAGCGGGCACTTTTCCCCTCCCATTTTTTCAGCAGTTTTTCGTGGGCAAAGAACGTCTCGATGCCCATAGGTAGATCGGTTGCTCGCGTCATAAGGTGCTTCTGTCTCCAACGACAGCAGGCCCACTCTTCTCGCCGTGAGACATGCGTGGATCATTTCCGGATTATGCACTCCCACTCTTCCCAGCTTCCGTGGTGTGTAGAGTAAATCTTTGCTCCAGAGCCTGAACCCCCCGATCCGTCGTTGCCTTCTTTCTGAAGACGAAATTCTGGAAAGCCTTGGAAATTGTGCCCCATAGTTTCGCAGGAGGTGGGTAGTCCTGTGCTTGAAATGCTGCTTTCGGCATTGTGTAGCTGTTGACTACTGCCGTTCGTGCTGTTGTCGAGAGAAACTTCTCATGCCACTTCTTAACCTTCCCCGAGATATCCTCCGCAGTTTTTTCCCATGTTGGCAGGCAACTCTCCGAGGGGGTGATCCACACACTGAGCAGCTTCCCCGCTTCATCCGCTTTTGCCCATCTGAAACTGAGCGTCCCAGCGGTCGTCCTACCAAGATTGTTCCCCAAAGGTAGGATAACCGACTTTTTTCGATTTGTCGCTAGCCCAGACATCAGCTCAAACCTTGCTAACACATGCCCTGCTCTGTTGATCTGCTGCTTCCCTTCCAGGACCAAATCCGTATCGTTCGCATATCCAACGTATGACA